GCTCTGAATTTCCCTCCTCGTTTTCTTTTTCTTTTTCTTTTTTTCTTTTTATTTTCTGCCTTCATGTTTCGGGAAGCGGCCGCCAACCCAAGGCAGCCAGCGTCACGGCCAACTCCATCACGAGCAAGCACACTCGAGCAATGACTCCAACCAGACTCAAAGGAAGCAGCCAATGCAGACCATGCTGGTGAGACGATACTTGGATTTGTGCGTAAAGATATGGAGTTGAGCGTACATAGTCGAAACAGGAGGATAAGAGGACAGAGAAGCAGCCTTGCTCGCTGGCTTTTGTTTTGCGTGAGCCCAGCCATGGTGATCCGCTCCCTCGACCGCCTCCTCTAGCTCAGACCCGTGCCGCTCGGATGGCCGAGGTGGCACATCCAGATCCTCGTCTTGTACAGGCGGAAGAGCTCCTTGACCAGATCGCGAAAGTCGACCCGCATGCTCGCAGTGTAGTAGAACGTCAGCTTGCGTCGGTCCCACTGCATCTCGGCCGCCACCACGCTCATCGGAAGTCCACGCTGCATCACCTTCGAGATGCACAGCTGAAGCGCACGCTCCTCGTCCTGCGCCTTCGAGTAGAGCGTGCTCGTGTCGGCGGCCGTCGCCTTGGTGAACAGCCGCTTGGGATTGATCGTCCGCATCGGTCGGCTCGCCATGGCATTCGAAGTCGCACTGCTGCTCGGTCCGCTCGCAGCCGACGAGGCTGAAGGCGATCCGCTCCTGCCCGAGGCATTCGAGCTCGTCTCGTCACGGCTGCTGCCGGCGCCCAGGGCCGTGCTGCCGTTGCCTTGAAGCGCTGCAGCTGCGCCAATCGTAAGGTCCGACTGATGCGCGAGGAACGCTTGCACCTGCTCCACCGTGATGCTGTCGTTGACCACCGTGCCCAGATCCTTGCCGCGATCCGCTTCGACGATCACTAAGTCGCCTCGGCGGATGGGCTCTTCCTCGCGCATCGAGGGCGACTGAGTCGGCGAATGCGAGCGGAAGAACAGATCCGTGCGTCCTTGCTTGAACTCGACAATGTACAACGGCGTGTCCTTCGACAGGCTGCCAAGCGGCACTCCCTTGCCGAGATCCTGCAGATCTCCCGACGCTCCCAAGCCGAACGGCGCGCCGCTACCGCCGAGGGCTCCTGGAGGTCCCATCGAGCTTGGTGGCATCGGACCGAGAGCTGCCAGGCTCGAAAACGTCAGGTCGTTGGGCGAGAGCGCAGGAAGGGGGGCAGGACCGCTCATGCCCAGAGCAGGACCGGGACCGGGACCGAAAGCAGACTGCTGCATCATTCCGAAGGGAGACGCGGTGGGGGGCGGATACGGCATGCGGCTGCCTGGAGCCAGCACCGAGCCGGGTGGCGCAAAGCCGTAGCCGGCCGGCATGCCATGCGCGCCCATTGCGGCTCCACTGAGGGCGCCCGCAAAGTCTTGACCGTAGCCCGCCGTCGGCTGCGAGGCGGTGAAGGACTTGGCTTGCGCCGACAGAGCGTGACCTGTGGCAGGAGCTGCGAGCCCCCGTACGCCAGTGGGTGACGTGCCTGGGCTTGCACGTACGGTTCGCGTGCCCTCTGCCTGGGAGTCAAAGAAAGACGAGGCGTTGGAGCCGTGACGGTGAGAGTGAGAGTGCACATCCTGTTCGCCGATCGACATCTGCCGTAGACGCCTCGTCATCTCGGCAAACGTGTGCTGACCTTCACCAGGAGAGCGAGCCGCCATGTGCGAAGGAGCCATTGTGTCCCAGCTGGCAGAGAGGCTGTCCAAGCCAGCCCTAGTCAGGCGCGGTGCATCTGCAAATCGGTCCGAGCCAGCTCCAAAGCCGTCGAGGCTGCCCTCGTCGAATGCGGAGGGCATGGAAGCAGCATGCGGGCCAACATTTGGTGCGCTCGTGCCAGAGACGCGTGTTGGATCAGCGGTGGCTCTCGTGCCACTCAAGTCACGGCGAGGGGTGCGGGCGTGCGAAGACGGCTCAAAGTCCGAGTCGCCAGCTAAGTCGTCCAGAGAGAGGGCCAGGCTGCCTCCGGCAAAGGGGTTGAAGCCCGCAGCGCTGGCGCTGACGCTGGTGATGCTGCGGTCCCTGCCGTGCCTGCCGGCGACGGGCCAGCCACGATCGGTGGTTGTGCCATGACCGGCGAGCTCGTGACCGCTTCTATCGGTCGTGTACGGTCCGGCCACGTCGAAGCCGATCGCTCGTCGATGGCCGCCAATCACACCGGCGCTGGCGGAATCGCGTCTGGCAATCGTGGGACCGGCCACCGAGTGGCGTCGCGACTCGTAACCGGACTGCGCACGATCATCGTCTCCGTCCAGGCCATCCGCATCGGCTCCACCGAGTCGCGTGGGCTCGGGATAAGACGACAGCTCCGGAAGATCGTGCACCGCGCCAAAGGGCGAAGAGTTGGTGTTGTAGTTGGAGCGGTGGGTGCGCAACGAGCCTTCGGTAAAGTCAAAGCCGAGATCGTGGAAGCCCGCTGGCGAGCTCAGGAACGGCGAGGGAGATGCTGGCTCCGGCTTGTTGCGCACATATGAGGCCGAAAAGCCGCGCTGGAGGTGTGGCTGAGGCCTCTGGGCAGCCATGCTGTTCGGCGCATTGGGTCCGCCCGCGGCTTCTCCCGTCCTTGCTCCGTCCCATAGCGCACGGGACGGCAGGTTGGACGCGGGCGCGATCCTGCCTGCGGCGTTGCTGGACCAGCGGTCAACATGAGGGCCGCTGCTGCCGTGGAGTGCAAGCGCTGCTGCACTCGAGGCGGACCGATGTCGCGACGCGCGCATGGCCTGCTCCATCTGCGAAAACGTCTGGTTCGAGTCGAACCCCAGCGACGAGTCGCGTCGACTGTCGGCAAAGCTTGGCCCACCTTCTTCCTGCATGGTGGCCAGCATGCCGCCGGACCGTCCTGTGAATGTACCATCCAGAGGATGAGGCGATCGAGCCACACCGGCCCGCGAGAGCGATGCCTGCTGCTCCCTACGGGTCTGCGCGTAGTGAGAGGCAGTATCGAGCTTCAGGCCCGCAGGCGGCACCGATGGCACGTCGACCGAAGTGGCGGGAGACGTGCCGTGCCTAGCATCGTCGCCGTTGAGCGAGGCTGGGTGCGACAAGTTGGATGGCGAAGGTGTGGAGCCTTGAGAGCTCGGCGAATGATGGTGCGGATGCCTGCTGTGCGTTGCAGAGGGCGAGTGCGGCGACCCTGGGGACTTGCGTTCTTCGATATGAACGGGCACCGGACTGACAGGGTTGTCGATGTCTGGCATCTTGGCTAGGCTCTTGTGCGAGCGTCCAGCGCTGTAGGTGCGGTGGCTTCGGTTGCGAAAATGCCAAGGGCGAGCCAAGCTTCTTGCTCTGCTTCTGTCGGTCTAGAGCGTGGGTCTCGCCAATGCAGTCACGGTGAGCGATTGGTCGAGTGAGCGTTGAGATGGAATTGGAGGGCTGAAAGAACAAAAAGAGCGTTGAAGCCGGGCCGGGAAGACGTGCGCTTTATCCGCGGCGTGCACGCTCTAGGTCCAAGGCCGGCGTCGACGTCTTCAGCCACTGATATTGCCCGCTCGACAAAAGCCTATTTCTCGCGGCTATATGTCGCTGCCTTTGAGTGTCGGAACATCGAGTGAATGGTGATGAGAGGAAAATGGACAGGTGTCGTCAGTGTCTGCGCTTCGGGTGCTTTCTTTGTCGTGGAAGCTCTGGCTCGCGAAGGATGACGGCAGTATCGTCGCAATATGCCGACGTTCGAGCTACCCTGGATCTACGAGTGCCGGCGCCCTACAAAGCAGGGATCGACAGGTCGACTGGAGGTGACGACGGATGGCGACGAAAGGATAGCGAGGACAATGCTTTGATCTGTACAGACGGTCGTAATTGGTCGAGTTGGCAGCGGTGGCAATCGAGGAACGCTCGAAACAAGAGGCGAAGCGGTGTCGAGAGGGAAGGTGTGGGGTTGGAAGAAGCTTCGACGCCGTGACAGAAAGGGAGCAGGCCTGGCTTTAAATACAAGTCGAGAGGCCGGCAACCGGCCCCTTCGGATCCCAGCCGACATGTCGCAAGAGCCGAGTCAGGGTCCGCGAGACTGACGACCGGCTCAAGCCAGCGACAAGTGCATCCCGTGCGGGGCGCTGTGATGTGCTGCCGCCCATGGCGCATTGCGAGCGCGAATCCGTGCGCTGTGATGGCCAAGAACGACCTCGGAAGGCGCCCGTCGCCCATCGCGCGGCGCCGATAGGAGCAGCCGACTCAGCCCTGCCGCAGGATTCTGCTCGACACCCGCTCGATTCGGTCGGCTCGAGAGAAGCGGGACGCGGTTGCAGGGCAAAGCGGTAGCCATCGGCAGGGCAAGAAGACGGGAGCAGAGCTGGTGCGCACGGAAGCGGCGCTGGAGCTGGGAGGCTGAAGGGCGATCCCCGTCGTCACAGCGCCAACGCAGAACAGGCGACTCTCGCACAGCATCCGGTGCCTAGTGGTGGTGGTGACAGGCCGTGCGCGCGAGGTGACTTTAGCCAGTGGCTGTGGCTGAGTCGCGTGTGATCCGATGACAGCTCCTTTGCGCGCTTCTGAAAGCGTGCGAAGGATCCCGATTGAGCGCTCGGAGTGGGACGCGCGGATCTGAGAGCGTCCCGCCCGCCGCACGCGCCAGTCCGCGCCAGTCCGCGCATGCCGGGCGCTTAGTGTGAGCCGTCACGTCTACGCACGCCGCGCTCCTAAGCCAAGCCTCGCTCGCCATCCAGAAAACGAAAGGGCAGGCCCAAGTTCGACAGCATGGCGTCGGTCTCGGTCGTTCCAAGATGCGACGACGTGCGCCTGCCTTGGCCAATGGCTAGAGTCACCACGAGATCCAGGCGATGCCACTCGAGCATGCGGGAGCGCAAACATGCGCGCATGTGATGGCTAACAGCATCTCGGCACAGCGATTCGACTCGATGCTGCGGCTGGACTTAGCCATGCGAACCCTGCGTGCAGCTGCTGCTCCGCCGGATGCTGCAATGCTTCCGTGTCCACGGCTGGCTTGGCGTCGAGACGTCGGATGTGAGAGCGGGTGTTGGAGGTTCATCAGGCGCGCCATGCCGGAAACGTGGTAACGCGTCCGCGACTTGCTGCTGCGCTCCGGGCCACAGTCATCGCATGACAACCGGCCAAGCCAGGGTGATCGTGCCTCGCCGTCAGCTCGATCGTCTGCTTGGCCACCCTCCTCGACACTGCTGCGATCCCATCAACTTTGGCGTCTCGAGCCGATTCTGGAGCGTAGGAACAATAGGCGAAGATCCGAGGCAGTACTCACCCTGTAGTGTTGCGCTTGCTTGCCGATCGTTGTGGAGGTCCTGGCGGTGCCGCAGTCCGGCGTCTTTTCGATTCACAGTGTGCGGCTATATGCGCAGCGGCGACCCGGCGGTCGGGATGTCTGGTCTTGTCTGATGTTCGGTCTGAGAACGGCAGTTCGGTCTTGTGAGGCTTGCGGCTTCTATCTATACGGAAAGGGTATCTTGCGGAATCGAGGCTCAGGGCTGCGGAATCAGAGCGGTCATTTGGGCTGGAAGAGGCAGGTGCGCGGATTGGGCGAGAAGGGACTCGCAGGAGCTCTGTCGGATCTCGGTGGATCCCTTGATTCCTTCTGAGCGAGGAAGATGGATCGGAGGCAGTGCTGCTGCGCCGTCGCCGCCGCTGCCGTACGTTTCCGGAGAGCTCAAAGGCAGCTGAAATGAAGTCGAGCGACTCGCAGCTCGCGCGCGGATGGAGGCGTGTTTGAGGCCGAGACACGCAGAGCGAGCGAGCCGGCTGAGCCGATGCGACGCGACTTGGATTCGGGCTGCACCTTTGCTCGGACTTGGAGACAGCGCCCTGGTGAAGCTGGAGGTTGAGGCTGCTGCTGCTGCTGCTGCTGCTGCTTGTTGCGACGAGGAAGCGTGCGGCGCGTGCAGGAATAAAGGGAGGGAAAAGTACTCGGAAAGGGCAGATGGGATGGCAGCGCGTGGCG